CAGGGCATGGAGAACTGATGTTAGGAAAAAAGGCAGTCAACCATCATTGCATACAGCACTCAACAAGAAGACCAAAAGTCTTTGTAGGTCTACAAGCAAGGATGGTGCAGGGAAAGAACAGGAGGTCTAGAGCCCAGAGATCTGCACTCCAACTGGACTCGTAGCAGACATACACATGCCACCAGAAGTCTGCACAGCCATTTCCCGACCTATTCTAAAGCGGGGACTCTCACCTACTTTGGTATGACCCTCCTTCAATGGCTTTAGTCTGAGTGGTATGCATTTGGGAGAGGAGATATGTGGCTACAGAAATCAGCTCTTCTGTTCCCAGGTTCACAGTGCTCAGGCAAAAGAAAGGCTCAGGATTGCTGCCGCATCTTCTGGGTCAGCCTGAGATCTAGATGCTGGGCTCACTAGTTATGAAGGCTCTGCCAGCTGGTCTCCCATGCAGAGATGACAAGTTGCTTCTCCTATGGTACAGAACTCCATGCCTCTACAGTAGACCAGCTGTTAGAGACAGCCAACAGCAAAACATGAGCAAAATATGAGACTGGCTACCAAGTGATGCTGGCAAGGGCCTCTGTGATGTAAGAACACAAAAATTCAACAGGATGGAGTGAGCTTGCAATCTGTATGCATAATCAGAGCTACAGCTCCGCTCCCAACTGTGCAGGAAAGCATGGAGAGGATGAATATTCATGTGTGTAACTTATTCCATGATGTTAAACTGAATTGCTCTTAGTTTTAAGATTAAAAACTATTTGCCTCTCTAGTTCTCAGAGCTCAGTTTATGCCACCTTTAAAGAACAGATTTCTAAGTATGAAAGAAAAATTCAAGTATCAGAAATTCAGAACGTGAAGCAGGTTGATGAGGGCGTGTCGCTTCATTCCTGTGGTCTGCACACTCTAACCTGAGATCATGTAGTAAGGACTCCTGGCACTGGGGAGATGGCTCAGTTGGTAAAGTACTTGCTAGGCAAGCATGAAGATTTGAGTTCAGATCCCCAGCACCATGTAAAAAGCCAGGTGAGGACAGCACATGTCTGTAACCTAAGCACGGGGGAGGAAAAGACAGGCTGATCCCTGTCTCAGAAAGCAAGATAGATAGCTACAGGCCTCTGGCTTTCGCATACAAATATGAATACCCATTCACATGAACATACAACACACACACACACACACACACACACACCCAGAGAGAGAGAGTGAAAGAGAGAGAGACTATGTACTATGTACTCTCAATCAGCACTTAAATATACTTTTAAGGTAACATAATTTTTTTTCTTTGCTTCCTAGTCTATTTTGAGAGTATGTGTAAACCAAATTGTACTTTAAGAAACAGTGGGACTTTAAATGTCACAAACAATGATCCTTCAAAAATAAAAATTCTAGAGATAGCTGTTTCCCACTACAATATATAATTTGGGTGTGGACTTTTCTGGGTGCTATTCGATGCTTTAAAGTTAAGGGCTCTGATCTGAGCAATAGTGGAGAGGCTACCTTAAATTCCCTTCCCTGATAATGAGATTGATGACTACCTTATATGCCATCCTAGAGCCTTCATCCAGTAGCTGATGAAAGCAGAGGCAGACACCCACAGCTAAACACTGAGCTGAACTCCTGGAATGCAGTTGCAGAGAGGGAGCAGTGATGAGCAAATTGGTCAAGACCATGCTGAGAACAGAGACAGCTGACCTGAACAAGGAGGAGCTCATGGACCCTAGACTGATAGCTGGGAAACCAGCATAGAACCAAACCAGACCCCGTGAACATAGGTCTCAGTTAGATGGCCTGGACAGTCTTTGGGACCTCTGACATTGGAACTAGGATATATCCCTGGTACACAAAAGGGAGCACATTCCCCATGGAGGGGTACTCCCTTAGCCTAGAGACAGGAGGGAGGGCCTAGGCCCCACCCCAAATGATATGACAGATTTTGATGATCCCTTCTGGAGGGTCTCACTCTCCCTGGGGAGTGGATGGGGAATGGGTTGGGGGGATGGGAGGATGGGAAGGAGAGGAAACTGAGATCCATATGTAAAATAAGAAAAAATATAAAATAAAAAAATTAAAAAAAAAAGTTAAGGGCTCTATAGAGACCAAGAATGACAAGAATGACAGCCGTTACCTGAGATAAGAATAACATAGGGTTATAATGAGAAAGTAGGCCACTTGGAAGAGGAATATGATTTACAGAGTAACAGAAAAAATCTCAGATGCAAATTGTAATGTACTTTCTTTTTTTTCTCCTTTTCAATGCATTTTTCTTCTCAGGCTGTCTGTATCTGGCTTTAAACACAGTGGGCCAGATGAGACTTAAGGCCATGTCAACGTATTACTTCAGGAAATATGTACAGAACTAAAGAAAGTGATGGAAACAGGATATGAACACGTCTTTACAGTTTGCTGGTGAGTTTCCCTGTGCTGAATAGGCAGGGCAGGCATCCAGGAATGTTCATTCCCAGGGGTTCTAGGGCCATTATTTCTCTTCAGGGTTTTAGCATCTCTGAATCTCAGCTCTGTAGGAGTTCCCTAAGGAAAAGCTAAGGCTGTGGAGGATCTTTCAGCTTTCATACACTCAAGGCTAACAGCAGAAGCACCGGTGGGAGGAAGCAGGAAGGTAACAGACAGCAAGGAAATGAAGCAGAAGGTGATGCCTGGAGGGTCCCAGAGCTCTTCTAACCAGCTGAGGAATTCCAGGAAGAGTGAAGCTGCTTACGCTTCCTTGTTGGCCTGTTTTTAAGGTCATCCTGGGATCTCTAAAATGCCTCCTAGTCAGCACTGGGAGAATACCCCGTGAGTACCACCCGTCAGTGTTAGGAGGATGGCCCCAGTGGAGTGACCAAGCTGACCAAGGCCTCTCTACCAGCCTTCCCACACACTCGGTAAACAACCAGCTTTCTTCTGCATCAGATGGAATACTTTTTCATTCTTGCAACTGAACCCTGACTGACAGACAGCTAAGTGTAAGATACCAAACTGCAACATGGCAGTAATGTCAGAGAAAACTGCTAAAGCAATCCAGCTTCAAAAAGAGCTTGCATAGGTAGCTGGCTTCCAGCTGGCTGCAAAGACTGGCCTCAGGAGGAGGCCTGAAGAGGCAATACAAATGCCCTGGAGTTAAATACCTCTCACAAAGAGACAGGGCACTTAAGAACCCTTCTGACACCAACCCCCCCCCCAACAAAACAAAACAAAACAACCCCCCCAGCAGTTTCAACACCAACAAACAACAAAAACCCGACCCCAAATACTGTCCTGATAGTGCTGGAAATTCCAGTCAGCAATTCATGAGCGCATTGAATTATATGTTCTTAATAATGGCCATAGCAGCATACCATAGTATCCTGTGAGAGTTGTTCTTAACCTTGCCGAGACCTCCCTCAGACACTCCCTCTAAACTGCTGCTTACATGCCTGGGGTACAACCCATGCTATCTGCAGCACCGTACACAGAGAGGATTGACTAAATGAGAAACCAAATTTGAACAACCATGGTCCATATTATGCTAGGCTAGCATGCAATTATTTTAAATTTCTTCAGGCCAAGGAAGCTGGCCAAATCAAACGCCCTTTATGCAGTTGAAGCGACTGAAGTCATTTGCAGGAGAGCCCTCAGGTGGTTCTGCTGGTGAAACAGTTCACACCCTGCTCTCCTGGCTCACACTTGAAGAGACAGTCCATACCACACTGGGCTTCTCCAGCACTAGTATTTGCCTTACCTTTACCCTTTTCTAAGTAGCCAAGAGAGAAAGGCGGGACAAGAAAACCCAACTGATAAGCAGATGTAACCGCCAAACTTTAGCTTGCAGAAGGCCACACTGAACTCGGGATTGACAGACGTGGCAGTTCTGAGAGCCACTAATACCACCGCTTTTAATCATAATCATTAAGGTCTTATGGACGAAACAGTGTATGAAACTTCTTTGTAGCCATATCATCCTATGTAGGAAAAGAGGTCCTTTAGGATGTAGGACAGTGGCAGAGTGCTTGACAAACATTCCTAAGGCCCTCCATTAAACCCCTAGCACCACCAGTAACTAAAAAAAAAAAAAAAAAAAAAAAAAAAATTAAGAAATTAGCTAGGTGGTGGTGGGACACGCCTTTAATCCCAGCACTTGGGAGGCAGAGGCAGGCAGATCTTTGTGAGTTTGAGGCTAGCATGGTTTACAGAGTGAGTTCCAGGACAGGTTTCAAAGCTACAGAAAAACCCAGTATCAAATTCATATACACATATATACACATATATGTATGAAATTACTGATGGTGCGACTGGGTATGATGGCACACACTTTGAACATGAACTCAAGGCTACCTTGTGCTACATGAGCCCTTGTGTCAAAACAGGCGGTGGGGGGAGGGGAGAAAAGTAAAAGACCACGAAGATAGATCGGTGGGTAAAAGCACTTGCTACACAAGCAAATGTGAGGACCCAAGTTTGAATCCCCAGACCCGCATACAAGTTGACACACAGCACACAAGCATCTCTATTCCCTTAATCTTGGAGGCAGACAGGAGACTCCTGGCAGCTCATGGGCCAGCTAGCCAGTCTTGCGTATGGAGCAGGGAAGCAGAGACCCTGCCACAAAAAAGGTGGAAGGTGATGGCTGACACGTAAGCGCGTCCTTTGAGCTCCACATGTACACTGCCCATGCTTACCCATGTTCATGCATGTGAATGGACACATGAGCACGCGCACACTCACCCACTTAAAAAAAAAGATGAAATAAAAATAATGAAAGCTTTGTCTTTTTTGCATGGAGCCAAGTGTGTAACTGTTTAGAATTCATTTCTACAAAACACAGTAACTAATGGAAAATGGAAGGGTTGTTCTTTAAATCTATTTTGATAACAGTAAAAATAAAGCAAGCCCTTTGTCCTACACATGAGTCAGGGGCAGGCACATCTGGTTGCTAGGAACACAATCTTAAAGGTACTGCTTTTGGCTCAGAGTTGACAGAGGAACAGCCTGATTGGCAAGCTGATGGAAATGGATGTTACCTGTTCGAATAAAGCGTAGTCCTGTCATGTGGACAGGGTTCACTGACATATAAGGAGGATGATGAGATTGTGGTCGCTAAGGAAGCAGCTTCAAATAATGATGGAGTGCTGGGTACCAGGTCGGGCCTGTGTCGGGATCCCAGGGCTGGGGGAGTAAAAGCAAACACATGCACTCATGAATCTCAGCTTTACATCTGCAATAACTTATGTGAGTCAAAAGCATTCATTTTATGTACCAGGCTGCAAATGAAATTATGAATTAACCATGCTCTCCTGAACTACAACAGAAATGTAAAATATCTGCTTGCACACAGGTTAAACAGCAAGGAAATGACATTAATTTACAAAATGGCTTATGGAAATGACATTAGGAATGCTCTTTTCAAAACCTAATAAAGTGATTTAATCTTTCAAAATGACGGCATAAAAACTCCTAGGAGTTTAAGGAGATAATGTGGCAGAGATTAAAAGGATGACTGGCAGAGGCATGAACAGAGAGCATGGGCTTTCCTCTCCACATGACACGCAGATTTCAAGGGGCACAAACAAACCCTTTAAGAGAACAGCAGCATGCAGCGTCTCAGTCCCATTGGAGCCTACAGGGACACGACTCAGGGCTCTTCTTAACATCCTATTTTAATAGCAAGGCTGCCTTTGTAAAAGTGAGAAAGCTTCTATTTCTTTTTTAAATTTTAGGAGTTCAAGGAAAGTTTTTATGTCAGGGCCCTCGGTGCTCAGGAGGGTGAACCCTCCAGGCTTAGCAGGGACCTAGAGGGCACAGCTGCTCCATCCAGGGTCTTACTATACAATCCTGGCTGTCCTGGGTTGTTATATAGACCCATATATAACTTTCTATATAAACCAGACTGGTCTCAAACTCACAGAAATCTGCTTTTGCCTCCCAAATGTTGGGATTAAAGGCAATTGCCACTATAGCGGGTTTATATGAATTCTTTATCTTTTCCCAAACTGAGCTGAAAACATGCTACTGAATACAGCACAGCCTTGGGTGTTTCTGACATTGCTTGATACAAACAAAGGGTCCTAGGTGATGTATTTTCACTGTGTAAATGGAAACTGGCCACACTGGCATTGTTAGAAGAGTCTGAAGGGTTTTTTTGGGGGGTGGGGTGGAGAAGGGGATAGTAATTTGGGCTGCACACTGGCTTTGTTAGAAGAGTCTGAAGGGTTTTTGGGGGGTGGGGTGGAGAAGGGGATAGTAATTTGAGCTGAATCTAGGGCCCTACACACGCTATTCAAGTGTGCCACCACAAGAGTAATTCCAGCCCCTGGATTTTGGCTTTGAAGGAGTATATTTAGTAAGGTAGAGGGACAGGAATGGAGGGAAAGTGGGTCAGGGACAGGAAATGCTGAACTTTGGTTCTGAAGTTTAGACAGCATGTCAAAAGGTGCCCAAATCTGTAAGCAATGGTCCAACTCCTGTGAAAAAAAAAATCCCCAAACCCACTGCAGGTGTACATCACATGCAGGTGTACTACTTCCTGTTTCCAGGTATTCTGGGTACAGCAGAGTATATTTAATTTCACTATAGCTATTAGGAAGCCAGAAACAAAGAGATTGGGATTCTAGGCCAGCCTAGAAACTTAACAAGGCTTCAATTTAAAACCCAAAAGCAAAATGAAAAGTGTCTGTTAAAATGAGTTATTTAAGAAAATAAATTTGGTCCTATTTCTCAAACTCTGGACGTTTATAATTTTCTGTGTGTTCTCAGAAATCAGGCAGCCTGCTTGGGGAGAGGCCAAGGGAAGGCAGCTTGAAGGAAGTGCGTCCTATCTACCAGGAACTGATGTCATTAATACAGAGAGGACCAAGAGTAATGTCCTGGTTTCCTGCCCTACTGTTGTAACAAAGTAACCAGACAAAGGCAACCCAAGAAAGGAAGAGTTATATTTTGGTTCATAGATGGTGGGCAAGTCATGGCAAGGGGAGCTAGAGGCGGCTCGTCCTATTCATCTTCAGTCAGGAAGCGGACAGGGATGAATGTTTATGCTCAGCTGGCTTTCTACCCATTGTGTAGTCGAGGATGAAAACCCGGGGAATGGTGCCGCTCAATTTTAGGGTGGGTCTTTTCCACCTCAGCTAATCAAGACACTCTCTTGCAGATATGCCCAAAAGGAAAACTAATCTAGACAATTCTTTACAGGAACGCCTGGAGGTTTGTCTCTTAAGTGACTCTAGATCCTGACACGTTGACAATATTAACCAGCATAGGCAAATCTTTAACTCTCCCTGAAACAATTATAGACATGAGAATATGATAAAGAAACCCCACCTAGTAGAAGGAGATAAATGCAGAGAAAGAAGAGGATAGAAACAGCAATCTATCTGAAGACTCTGAGAAGTCTTGAATCTTCTATAGGAAGTACAAGACACTTCGGAGAGTCTCTATATTTGCTGTTAACCAAAAGACCAAGAAACAATTGACAGAAATATATAAAACATTATTTCTCCTTGTTGGATTAAAAATGAAAATTCAAATGATCAACTCAGTAGACAGAGAAAAGTTTAATAAAATTCAGTACTCTTCTTTGGTTGAAAACCTTTTTGGCAAATTAGAAACAAGAAAAGAAGTTCCTCAGTCTGACAATTGGTATGAAATATAGCAAGTTTCATTTTAAACAAAGAACTGCTAGAAACAGTGTCTTTAACCATTTCTGTTGATTACTGACTGTATCAGCAGTCCTAGGAAGCAAGCAATAAAGAGACACGAGGTCTACAGAGTAGCGTCAAACAGTCAGAACACACAGTTCTTTAAAAAAGGTACAAAATGTCCACATCTATCTCTCTCTGTTTCAAGGACTATATCTACATTCATATTAAATAAGGAAATTCTAACATTCAATTAAACTCACTGAAGCAGCTCTAAATAAACTGAAAGGGTTTATCACATCACTTCCATAGGTGTACATGCACGTGCACACACAGAATAAAATCTCGGAAGACATACCAGTGTGTTAGCATTTTGTATCATGGAGTAGGTAGATGATAGGTGTTTTCTTTAAGTACCTTACTACCTACTATTTTTTTTAATGGTAAACTACACATCATACTTGTTTATAGGGTATTTCATATTTATATAAATTTATTGTATTCTATGTAGCCATGTAGCCTATACAATTAAATGAATCAGCATTCTCTAAATTTTCTGCTGTGACTTTACATTATGCACAGAATTTACTAGTTTTTTTTTTTGTTTGTTTTGTTTTAGAAACTTGTAAGCGTTTACCTTCTTCATCCAGGCTGCTGAAACTCTGTCCTTCAGTTAACAAATCACGCTTCTCATCCTTCCACTCCTGAGTGACAGAGGACACAATCTCCTGGGAGGTTGCCTTCAATGCAGCAATGGAGTTGCATCGTTTCTTAGAAGGTGAGGCCTTCAGAGCTAGACAGCAAGGAAGAGTAGTTGTAAAGCCAGGCACAGTGGAGTGTGTTCTATTGTAAAGCCAGGCACAGTGGAGTGTGTTCTATTGTAAAGCCAGGCACAGTGGAGTGTGTTCTATTGTAAAGCCAGGCACAGTGGAGTGTGTTCTATTGTAAAGCCAGGCACAGTGGAGTGTGTTCTATTGTAAAGCCAGGCACAGTGGAGTGTGTTCTATTGTAAAGCCAGGCACAGTGGAGTGTGTTCTATTGTAAAGCCAGGCACAGTGGAGTGTGTTCTATTGTAAAGCCAGGCACAGTGGAGTGTGTTCTATTGTAAAGCCAGGCACAGTGGAGTGTGTTCTATTGTAAAGCCAGGCACAGTGGAGTGTGTTCTATTGTAAAGCCAGGCACAGTGGAGTGTGTTCTATTGTAAAGCCAGGCACAGTGGAGTGTGTTCTATTGTAAAGCCAGGCACAGTGGAGTGTGTTCTATTGTAAAGCCAGGCACAGTGGCATTTCCCAGCATTGAGGCTGAGGCAGGAGAGGTTGGAGGCTGGCCTGAATTACACAGTGAGATCCTGTTTTAAAACAATCATAGAACTAAAATAATGAGTAAAACTTACAAAATCAGATTCCAATTTCTAAATTTAATATTCCAATTATTAATATTTTTAAAATAATTTGGGTATAAAAGGGCAAGGGCTCATTTCATATATACGGCAAGGGAGATTAAAATATCTATGTTTTGGGCTATATTATTTGTTCAAAATGGCTTGATTTATAGAAAAAGATTCTAAAATACATTTAAGATGGACTTTGGAGCTGGGTGATAGTATTGCATACCTTTAATCCATTTTAGAATAGTCTATTTGAGGCAAACGTCAACGAATTTATTTTGTTGTTTGCTAATGAATTCCCATTCCTCCTCCTTGTTTTTCTTACGCTGAGGAGGCTGGGAGAGCTTGAGAGAGCAGATGGTGGACAAGTGCAGAGAGTTCTCATGACCCCAGCTTTATTAACTGGGGACTGGGACTTATAAATGTGCCCGTGCTTAATTGTATACTCATGTTGCCCAACTTAGTCATGTTACTTCTGGTTGCTTCTTTCTTTGTGATTTTCCATTGAAATCTCCTACTCTTCAGTCTTGTCAGATGCATAATTCACTTCCATGTCTATCCAAATGGCATTCTCCAACCTCAGAAGTATGGTGGGAACCCAGGCCAGTGAAAACATAATCTCCCAAGCCAGCAGGCTTGCTGCAGCCCGTGGTTCCACAGAGGGCACACTGGCAGACATTGCTTACACTGTAGTCTGATGTCCATCACTTAGTTCATGCTTTCCCACAGTAACACTTCTTGGCTGACTATGGCTAGAGAATTTCCTTGGAGAAAGTTGGAGGGAGGGAGGGAAGCTGAGACCTGTTTATGCTTCCCCTGAACTTGCTATTGGCAAGGGCGCTTTGGAGGTTTGCTTAAAGAGGTTAGCCAACAACAACTGGATTAGCTTTGGGACTCCCCTGAGTTTGGATTACATGGCTCACCAGCCCTCCTTCCGTGGGCAGGCTTTAAGAGATTAGGTGGAGAATGATGTTGGGACTCACAAATGAGGAAGAACAGAAGGAGGACAATCTCTCTGCTTCTGAGAAAGGAAAGGCTTGGCCTCCCCGAGGGTTTTATATTAATATCATCATCACGATAAATGACGTTCGTGGACTAGGGTGTTAGTCTGGAGGCCAACTCACACTGCATATCTCAAATTGTCAAAATGTCTAAGGGAGTTTGGCCCTTTTACAGGCCTAGAAATGGAGGGCTGAAAAATGGGCTTGCCCCAGGTCACAGGACTAGAGAGGGAACCCCAGAGGCCTTTCTTGTTGTCTTCACTTGTTTAACTGATAGTTGATTTTCTAGCTCTTTAGCATTCCATTTTCTGGTTAAGGTGTGTGTGTGTGTGTCTGGGCGTACTTTTTGGATGTTCAAACAACTGATCTTGCCATTCCTCTTGGTTTCTCACAATTGATTTTAAGGATGGATAAGTGGACCTAGGAAGCTGGTTTTTCCTCATACTGTGTTCTGCCAAGCACTGTTTCATTTTTACAGAGTGTAAGTGATTATCCACCACTGGTGTCTGCTGTAACAATCCCTCTGCTTTTGTTAATCTTTTATGAACTGTGACACATTCCTGCTCTTTGCTGTAGTATCTTTAGATTTCAAGGCAAAACTTTTATTTATTTATTTATTTTGTATGTCTAAGAGTATATGAGCTATGGTTTGGGGACTGCTAGGGGTCGGTGACCACTCAGATGAGCTTCAAGGTTGAATGAACTATTGCTACAAGAATATGAAGGGATTATGAGCTTATCAGAGTTTGAATGAACTATGCTGTCATCATGGGTCAAATTTGGAAGCAGATGGCAGACTTCAACTAGTCTCCACAAAGACAATTACTCAGAATTTTAAAATAGTCAAGGAAACGCCTCCTTTCTCATTATTTGTTTTAGGAACCATAACTATCATCCCAATTATTTTTATGTTCAGAAATTTTTAATTGATTTATGTTAACATACTTAAAATCTTTGTGTGTGTATGTATGTGTGGGTATGTATGTATGTATATGTGTATGCATGTGTGTGTATGTATGTATATGTGTGTGTATGTGTGTATGTATATGTATGTGTGTATATATGCATGTATGTGTGTATGTCTGTGTATGTCTGTATGCATGTATGTATGTGTATATGTATGAGTGCAGGCACAACATGCATGTGGAGGTCAGAGGACAATCCCAAGTGTCAGTCCTTGCCTTCTACCTTCTCTTTTTTAAAAATTTATTTATTTTTATTTTATGTGCATTAGTGTTTTGTCATGGGTATTAGATCTCTGGGAAATGGAATTAAAGATGGTTGTGAGCTGTCATGAACCCAGGTCCTCTGGAAGAGCAGTTAGTGCTCTGAATCACTGAGCCATCTCTCTAGCCTGAGACAGGCTCTTATTTGCTACTGTGACTATGCCAGGCTATCCAGCCTGAAAGCTTCCAGGGATTTCATTCTGTGCAGGAGAGCCTGAGTTACAGGTGCTTCCTCACACAGCTGGCCTTAGATAGGGATAGAAACTTATATTTGTGGCCCAAATGACCCTCCAGCCCCACAATGGATTTTTAACTGATAAGAACCAATAATTAATAATAGATTTTTTTTCCAAATTCAGATTTCTATAAGATGTAAACAGTTCTTCTGGGTCCTTACTTCATTTTAATTAATTATTTTTTAAAATTTATTTTACATAGCGCAGTTTCCCCTCCTTCCTCTACTCCCATTCTCCCTCCCTGCCTCCCATCTAACCTCCCTCACCCCTCCCAATCCTCTTGTCCATCTCCATCTCTGTTCAGAAGGGGGCCAGCCTCCCATGGGTGTCAACAAAACATGGCATATCAATCCTCACTGACTTTTCAGACTCCAATGTCACCCTAAGACCCAAAGGTCTGAGCAGTGCGTTTCCACTTGCTTACTCTCAGGCAGACGCTCATGCTCAGCACTGAGCTCCAGCCCTCGTAGTGAGGACATGGACAGTGAAGGGTGACAGTGAGAGGCAGGAAAGAGACGGTGGTGGAAGACACTCAGGAGGGTCTGACTGGGGCTGAAAGGAGAAGGGCAGCAGAGGGCCTGACAGCAACCCTTTGTCAAGGCCACAGAACACCTGGAGCAAGAGTAACAACTTTGTCTTCAATGCTTGAGTTCCACGTATGAGCCTTGCCCTTTCCAACCCTAAAGGGCTTACATGTGGCTGAAAACTGAGTGCATCAGGGATGTCTCAGGATTTGTAATCTCTCTCTCTCTGTAGCTCTGGCTGTCCCAGAACTCACTATGTAACCCCGTTTGGCCTTGAACTCACAGAGATCTGCCTGCTCCCCTTTTCCCAAATGCTGCTGGCATTAATTTTATGCTCCTCCACACCCACCCAGCAGGATTTATCATTTTGAAAATTTGTTTCCATGGTTTTCTCTTTCTTTTTGAGACAGGATCTCCTGAGCATGTTGTTGGCTAAACCATGTCTGCATTCTGCCACTCAACTGTTTCTGGCTCATCCATCTGCCTTTTCTAAGCCCTCCATCTTCATTCCTATCCCCAGGCCTTTGCACATTCTCTTTCCTTCCCTTGAGATGCCTTTTCCTTCTCAGTCTTCCTGTGGTCTCTGCACTAACACTGAAGGACTTATATGAACATCCCTATTCTCCCTAAAATACTTTTTGGGAAGAACTGTTATTTCTCTTGGTATACCTATAGCAGTGTATGGGAAAACTTATCAGCCACAGCAGGTGATTGGAGGCAAGAATTTCAGAGGTTTTAACACAACAGTGACTAATATTTCTAGAAAATATAGGACTTTGTAGAAATTGCCTAATAGGGTGCAAGGTTATAGGACAGGGACAGAAGCCACATCACAAGCAGACATAGGAGCTGTGTTAAGGGCTTTGTAGTCAAGGAAACCTAAGGAAGTTTCCCTCCCCCAAACTTATGATTGTAATTATTTTTAGTGCAAACCAGTTTTAGTTGGATATTAGCAAGGATAGAGCTGCGTGCCAGATTCATTCTTCTGGCTGCATTGTAGAGAGAGTGGGTTGTATAGGGACACAACTGGGAGCAAGATACAGTTGGAGAGACATCTAAGGTCACCAAAGAGGAGCACAAGAGTCTGAAGAGGCATTGGGATCCAGAGTCACGAAGGACAGTGAAGATGCACTTTATAGAGAACTCCAGCTAATAGTCCCAGATACTGCAGAGGTTTACACACAAAAACAATACAGATGGGAAGCTGCTAAACAGCTTGAAGAATTTTGATTGCCCACCTCAAGTGGGGTGGTGGAATCAACATCTGACCAGAGTGTGCTGAAGAGTGACAGGAAACAAGGAAACTAGACAGCTGCAAGTGTGCACAGCAGTCAAGTGGAGAAAGGCACTCCAGGAGAGGCTAAGGGACGCAGCGCCGAAGGGTTGTTTTCAGTCACATAAGAAGGAGTAGACTGAAGG